TGTTATATGGGTATTTGTCTGCCTCGTAAACTCAGCGACATGTTCCCCGAGGAGCCTTCAAAATTTCAAAGAACATCCACTTATGGCAAAAGAATCTCACCATATTCCGAGGGTAAGTAAAGAAAGATATTAATATTATTATATATAAAAGAAATTATGAGTGCTGTCAGCACAGAGTAAAGTAGTATTACGTAGTTAGTATCATCAATTTCTTATAAAGTGTAAGATGTGTTGCATACGTATTTACAAACAATTCCTTTATTTTTTCAAACAATTTTTAACACAAAAAAAGTGATTAAACAAATTGTTCAAAAAAGTGAATTTCGACCACTTGAAGCAACGGTGCTAACAATTTCGAGCTCACAGTGACTGATAGGGGGGAAGAACTTGTATTGTATAGGTATTATTAATTCATTGCTAATTTTTCCATCAATAATTTAAACCATCTTTGATGTTTAATTTGTATCGTCTGTTTTTTTTAGAAAATATTTCATTAGTGAAAACCAAAAAGGAAAAGAATAAATTTATTCATGACACATGGAATTGTATGAAATGCAGTAGAATAAGGGAGTCACAGCCACTCGACAGTGCTCCTTCCAATACAGATGCTTTAAAAGGTAATTGTGTTTTAATTTAACACATGCATTCGTAAAGTGTTTCCCTTTATGTCTAAAAATAACTTCTATTCCACAGAGACTATCATTTCAGCAACAGAACTTGTACAATTCAGCGATGAATTCATAGGTAAACTTACTAAAACTCCATGTAAGAAATAAGAAATCTAAATGTTAACAATTCATTTCAGAAACGAAATGTGATATTCTAGTTCAAGTGCAGCGACTTTCGAACCCCGTTTGGATCAAAAATAGTAGGCAATCGCTACTGCTACATAAACAGAAGCACCCTCACTTATTTCAAGACATGTGCCTATATTCTGAAGTGTGCAAGATTATTTCGCAAAACTCGTACCGTCTGGGTTCGCGTAGGCTTTTACAGGAGCTTTTCTTGACCGTCAATTTTTCGCATTTCTACGACGAAGCTAACAAATCGCTGTCGCAAGAAGACGATCGTGTTCTAACATTCGTGAACCTCCACGATGTTCCCGTTATGTCTAAATCGAACTCCGGCAGATCGTACTACGACATATTATCGGAACAACGTAAACAAGAGCTAATAAACGCTAATAAGACGACAGTAATGGCCTCGCAGACCAACAAGAGGACCGTTTGTGGGTTTAATGTTGATTCAGAGTCCGAAAGGTTGTCCCCAATCAAACACGAACCTAGAAGTCCACCCCTGTCAAGCGTTAAGGAAGAGAGCGCCGCCAGTTCGGAAAATTTACTTAGCGAAGGAACAACTACAAACAAAAATAACAAAGGAGATGAGCAAGAAGGATTCTCCCGCATCACAAGACTGGACTCATTTGCCCTGTCCTTTAAACACAACAAGTTTCCCATTACAAACAGAAACAATGACACCGTTGTGTGATGGAAAAACAGGTTCATACTTTTATTTTTTATCTTTTCTGTTTTGTTTTCGCGTTTTCTCAAGTCGTAATGGAAATCGTACTGTTAAGTTCTAATCACCCACCGGAATTGAGGTCTTGCGTTTATTAAAGTCAATTATTATGAAATGAACAGGATGAAGAATTTAAAGGTATTCTTTTGATTTTTATATCCGCTTACAATGTTTTTTTATTAAATAATACATAAGTACAATATACATGAATTGCTAAAAGTAACGTTTTAGCGGGCTCAATCTTTTGTGTGCTTTTTTAATTGTAAATCGCGAAAATTCTTTCCTGTCTCTAGTATTTACTTATTTTAATTTTGTTTACTTTGATTTATTTTAACTATTACATTAGTTATTTGTATTTTTCTACACGTGGGATGTAATATTAATTACTACATTCCGTCCTTTCTTTTTTTAACGTATTGCATAATTTACGAATAGACCTCATTATTGGATTTAATCAGAATTAGTTTGTTACATACTTTTCAAAAATATTTTAGTTTTTAGTTAAAGGGCCCGAAATACTTCTCGTATTTAACCTTTTTAGTAAGCGAAGCCAAGCTTCAACGTTTTGTAGAATATGAACGTTTTTTTACAGGGTGTTTTTACATAAATATATACGTGGTACATAGTGTTGTAAATTTGAAAACAAAAACCGTCAAATTATTTTTCCAATTTAATAAGAAATCGGCATTTGATTTAAATATAAATTCTAGTCAGTGAACGTTTATTTGACGCGAAAAAATAAAATTTAATTTAAATAATACTAATGTGATATACGTATAATGTAACAAAAGAATTAAACACTCTGTATAAAGTTAATGGTCTGGTCGCCTTCTGTTTTAATATTCAATATCTGCGTTATTGCCTGAAAAAGAGCGAAGATTTTATTTGAATGAACTTTTAAGCACCACTTAAAAGTGTCAGTATCTTTTTTACAGTTTTGTGGAAAGGAAAATATCATATTTGATATTTTTGTACTTAGTTCCTTTTGCAGTTATTTTTTTGTACATAAGGATTGCTTGTAAACTGCATATAACTTTTTATACAATCTATTTTCATTTGTTCCTATCGCATATAATAATAATAATTACTATTATTATTCAACCTAATAATATAACGCAATTACAAGAATAATGTCGGAATATTTTGAATGGCGTTTTTATTTTTAAGATTTAAACTTATTACTTGTTATTAAGTTATTTATTTGTCATTTTTGTATTTATTTCCATCAAATAAAACTTCAATATTTCATTCGCTTGAATCATGTATTTAAAGCAAAAAAAATCATAATTAATAAAACCGCGTAAATTATTGAAGTAATAAGGCAATTTTAATTATTCGGAATTGATCGACATAAAAACGGGTGTAACTGACTGTAAAATTAACATATAAAAACAGTAGGTAACAATACTCACTTTAGTATAGAATTACATTGTCGCTCATTGCAAGTAGGTTTTATATTCAATAATTCATTTTAGTATAATAGCAAAACTAGTTTGTGTTCATAAATTAGACTTTTCTAATTTAATTAACAACATACAATTTAGGTATGGTTAGTACAATTAAGATCAATTCAGTAATATTTAAATATTATTGTTCAATATTAACGAATTATAAAGCAGACTAGCATCGAACGACAACCACGACAATATTCCTGTTAATAAAAAAATGTTCAAAAGCTATTCATAACGTTAATAATCGTCTCCACGTGATACAACTTCTTTACAGGTCGGTCTGAGCATGATTGTGTGTTCAAATTGAGCTGTGTAACAACCCTTTATATCACAAAGGGGTGGATAAGCCTCCACGATACCTTTATCGCACAAATCCTTCAAGGCCATTTGATATTTGGTTGCTCCAAGACGATCCAGCCAACGTTTACAAAATGCCAAGGTACCGAAATTTTTATTAATTACATTAAGTAATGATTTTGAGGACATTAATCTGACAAAGAAAATAAAATCAAACATTAGATAAACACTCAATACAACTTAATTTCAATTTGTATCTCACCTGAGAGGAACATAAGGTGTATCAAAATTTTTCATATAATGTGAACATTCCATGTCATCATGTACCACTCCCCTGCCAGTAGAACCAAAGGTTTCAATGGCATAAAATTCATTCTCTTCCATAACTGTTTCTTCACCCCCTTTAACAATGGGAACTGTTTTGCCTGCATGGATTCCTATAAAGTTAAAATCAAACGTAAAAACATTACAAAAAGGCACTTCTGTTAAATGACTCACTGTATGGTGATATCGAATGACCATTTAAATTACGTATTGATTTGATGGGGTAAGTTTTACCATCAAGCTCTAATTCATATGATTCCATTACTTCTTGAATTGCAGCTCCTATGTCACACAGTTTAACATCTATGCCTGAAAAAACATTTTATTGTTTCTTTGAACATACTATAAAATTAAAATGGTAAGAATTGTCTTTCTTGCCTGCAGCTTTTATTCCTGTGTTGGTAGCATCTTTGACAGCATTGACCAAATTATCATATTTGGGATTAAATGATAATGTAAAGGCACAATCTATGATTCTGCCATTAATATGTGTTCCAAAGTCAATTTTAACAACATCATCATATTCCAATACAGTTGGATCTCCTGCATTTGGTGTATAGTGGGCAGCACAATGATTTCTTGAACATCCTGTGGGAAATGCAAGTCCAGCTTGAAGTCCATTTTCTTTTATAAGTTTCCTAGCTACACCTTCCAATTCTTCACAAATTTCAATCATAGTCATGCCTGGTTTTACCCATTTTTGAATATGCTTCCTTGTCTATAAAATTAAAATACTGATTCACTAAATTACTTACAGCAAATAAAGAAAATGGAGATAACCTGTCTATGAGCTTCTGCTGCAAGACGAACTTCATTATAAATGTCATTGTGCATTCTATCTAATGCTTTTTTTTCTTCGGATGTAAAACGATCCTTAGCTGTTCTGTCATCTTTAAGAATAGGATATTGCATTATTTCCCCTTCAGGAAATACTTGGTCAGGAAAAAGATCGACAATAGGTACTGATGGAGGGTCAGTTTGTTGATTCTTCCCACTTTTCCCTTTCCGGTTTCGTTTCTTTTTCTTTTTTTCACCCTCATCACCAGCTTCTTTCTCGATGTCTCCGTTAGCTTCTCCGTTTTCGGCAATATTTTCTTTTTCAATAGCTGCACTTCCATTTTCTAGCAGTAAGAGGATTAGCTAGCACGTGATGATACTTGAAAATTATCCCTTACCTGCTGGTTTCTTCTTCTTTTTTTTCTTTTTCTTTTTTTTAGTCACTTCATTTGTACTATTTGTCTCCTCTACATCTTCAATTTCCTCAATTTCGGCATCATCTTCGTTCTCGCCCACCTCAATATCAGTTTTGACGGCAGCCATTTTCACTTAAACGAAATTAGGCATATTTATGGGCATATTTTCTATTGTAGATTGTCATAGATAGTAGATTGTAGTGTTCCTAATTTCACGGTTCATTGCTCCTTTATTAAATAGTTCATTCAGCCAATAGTCGAAATAAATTTATAACACGAAAAATTATTTTAACATTTTTAATTAAAAGTCAATGCAATACAACACAAAATATTTATTTCCATCGACATAAAGTAATATAACGCTAATTTTAAAGCACAAATTCGTTTCTTCGTTACTTTTTTATACTCAAGGTGTTTGTTCAGTAAAATCTTTATTTTTCTGTCTTAATTAACTTTACTATTCGAAATAGAATAAAAATTGATCTTCTTAATCCTTTAAAATAGTTGAATTATTTTACAAACACCTCGCTCTTTCAGAAACATGTTTCTAAAAGTTTTAATATACAGGGTGATTATGCACTGCATATCTTATAAGATATAAAACTAAAATTACGTACAACAGATAAACAGAAATATTGCACTGCACATTATATATTTAAAATAATAACGTATAACAACTATTTACCATTTTCTTACTGTAATGTGGCCAAATACGTATTCAAGTAGTCAAGTTAAATTAAAATTAGAACGAAAATAATTTATACGTGTGCAATTAACTGATCTAAAATTCAGTTTGCATAACAAATGATTATTACATATATTCTTAATTCTTTTTTTATACGTATTTTTATATTTAATTTATAACAGCTGAACGTTAGTCATAAAAATAATAATAACAAACCATCTGAAAAGAATTCAATACTGGTGCTTATGTTTAATGAGCGTGATTCAGAATTCGACTCCATCCGCATACTCGTTGAATGAATAGATCGAATGCTGGATCACGGTCGTGAAGTTCGAACTTTGAACCTTTTTCAGATAACGCCGGGCCTTAAAGCCTTAGCATTTTCAACAATAAAATAGTTTAAGTAACAAAAACAAGTAGGAACAAAATACATTTGACTTACAAATAGTTATTACATAATTTAAAAAATAATTACTACTTAATTAATTAATTTTGTTCTACTATCTTCTACAAACTATCCAAAAGCATCTTAACATTGGCAATTATAAAAAAGATCACAAAAAATACTGAAATACCTACGTATATATTTTCTACTTTTTAGGCAAAAATTGAGCAACTACAAATTTTTCGTTTAAAGCGATCTCAAACGAAATTTCAATATTTAACATTAAATTTAAAAAAGAAAAAAAATGATTACTACCTTTTACACATCCTTACACATTTTTCTATCAATCTGTATCTTGATATACATATGCCTATCTGAAAAAGAGTACATTTATGCACACAGGGTGATATAAGAATAATTACAGTAAATGAATAGTTCATTAAAGAAACCTTTTGTTGCTAATAAATTGATTTAATAATCGCTACTTCTATAATAAATAGATTGGAAATTAGCAAAAATAAATCACCCTGTATATGCTTTTTATAATTTCTAATCTGGTGGCAAAAATGGCTGTTTGTTAACATCGGACAATAAAAAGATTAATAAATAAAGCACTTCTATGACAAAAGGTACTGCGTAGATACTTTCGCCCTTTTTCGTCTATATTACTGTTATAAATTTTCAATTGACTCTTGTTTCCTATAAGGAAGTTTGCCTACACCTACACAATATATAAGACTGCTGCTAATCATCTAAAATATTACAGAGCTATAAGGCGTGTTTTGCAATCCTTCCATTTCTCCTGCAATTTTTTATGTTCTTCGATATCTCTTTCTGTGAATCCTCTGCCGCTGATGCTGAGCTTCCGAGGATCTAAATTCGAACCTATGTTCTGAACACCTTTGGCTAATTTTGAAAACGGTGATAATACGAGATCTTTGGTAACGTTTGCCACTGGACTTGTTATATTTGCAAACCTATTTATAAGTTTTTAAAATTAATACGAAAAACATCTTCAAAAAATTAGTCTATTTATCTTTTAGTAAAAACTGTTGTTATAACAAAAAAAATGAATTTAACATTGTGAAAAATATGTAATAACTTAGGTCTTTGAATTTAATTTACTATTAGAGTAGCATTTTGTTATTTTACATACCGAGTTTTCAATGCAGATTCGCTTTGAGACTGAGATATATTCAGTGTCAGGTCTTGCTCGGAATTCGATCTTTTCTCATTTGCAATAAAAATTAGATTCGGATCTATCGCTGCATCATCAGAATTCACTTCTCCTGAGGAGTGACTGTGAGTTCGATCCAATTGTAGAGCGTTGGGAGGTTTAGCAGCCTTCTGCTTCAGCTCCTCACTATTTATTTGAATTACTGGGGGATTATCAAAGTTTCCATATCCTAACACATCAAAACATCTATTGTTATTTTATACTCTTTAAGCGGCAATCGCGTTGTTGAAAATGGCTCTAACGATTAGGTAGACCGGGAGTTTTAAGGGTGATAAATCGACTTAAATAAATGTAATTGAGGAAAACTAATAGTTATTTGGTACACGGGAGGTATCTCGATTCAGATTTAAAATAATATAAATCGGGTATATGCAACTTAATATACACCCGGTATATTTGTGTTGCCTATGTAGATTAGGCGAGCGAAGTCTGATTAGACATTAAATAAAAAAAATTTAAAGAAAATACTTAGACGATCAGGTGTAAATGACGGATTACTTTTCCAAAAATAATAAGCTACTGTTAATACCTTCGTTATTACTATCAGCATTTGATGAAGCCATCACAATGCCAACACTGGGAAGAAAAGTATCAGGTTTTAATTCAGTCTTTGGAGACTCATATACTTTAGAAGTTTCTGTTAGTTCAATCCCTTGTTCTATCATGTCTTCCTTTTTTGGTTGGAAAATCGAGTTTTCATAAGCCTCATCTTCTGATTCGCTAGAAGATTCGGTCTGTTTTGATCCACCAATAACAAAAGTGGAGGTTTTTTGAGATTTCATAAAGGGTGAACCCAAACGATTAATCTTTTTAAATTGTTGAGTTACATTAGACAGTGCTTTAGAACCTGCAAAGAAACAATAACTTCTCCGTTTCTTTTAACAAAGATTTGCCTTTTACCTGCATTTTTTAAATTCATCAGCTGTGTCTCAGAAACGTTTCTTGTAATTTGGGGTAATCCCACAACATCTAAATAAATACTGCTATTGGTTTTGCCAGAATTACGCGCGTTGCACTTCTTTTTTTCCAATTTCTGTCCCTGAATAAACGGAACAGGTGGAAGCTTAGCTATTTCTAAAGCAACTAGAAATGTTTCGCAGATGGATTTCAGAGATTCTGTAAAATTGAAGTATTAAATAAATAAATATTTTAAATTAGTTAGTAATTAAACTTACCAATTTCTTCTTCAACATTTTTAATGATGACTGTCATGTTATTAAAAAATCGCAAATTCGTCGATCTAAACATATGAAAGTATCCATCGCAGTCGTTAATTTTATAATTAATACGAATACAATAATGATTTTTCGTTGTTTTGAATAAAGAAGTCATTGACTCCGGTACACCAAATTCCAAAGACGTTATGTCACTTAACGGTACAGTTTCGTACTTTGTAATACGATCGACTTGATCGTCATATTCAGCCACAAAATACGATTCTTTAGTAAGTATTAAAATGGAATCCATTTCAGTTTCATTAGGATCACACATGTACGGATTCGCATTTATCAATCCCCAGGCTCCTAACACAAGCTCAAGATTTTGGAGCAAGAACTTTTTACAGTCTTCAATCAACAATTTTACATGTTCAGCAGTGATGGTGTTATCTTCTTCTTCTTGAGGCTTGAAATCGGTAAAAGATTCTTCTGAAACCCCATTTCCTAACATCAGATCTATTGTTCCTTGTCGTGTAGAATCTTTGAAACGGCTCAAATAGTATCTAAAACAGTTATAAAAGGTGTTAGAAACGTAATCAAATAATTTAATATTAGTATCGTTAATATTGCTAAACCAAAAAAACATAATAAGATTAATGGTTAAGTAAATTCGACAATCATGTAACTTACAGGACATTTTAATTACTAAAATCAAATTAACTTAATTTAATAGAAAACAATGATAAACTTGCTAATATATTAATAATGTTTTTATGCAAAAAACGATGTCACTGGCACAATAGTTAAGTAGTGTTTAGTTTTGGAGATTTATAAAATTTTTACTAACTGACCTAGTCATATGATAAAGGACGTTAAAGAGGGCAGTTTCCTGTTCGAGAGCAATTTGTGGAATGTATGAGGGTGGTTCTATGGGGATAAGTTCGTCAACTATATTGTCGATCGTATTTAAATGGTACCAGAAGTCTTGTACTTCGGTTAGACTAAGTTTCTGTCCCAACATCAAATCAAGACAACATTGACGTAAATTGTCTTTGAAGTGATGTTTAAAATATCTACAAAATTTTGAAGAAAAAACTGAAATTAATTCTTTTCTTAGCAAAAGACTTATTAAAAGATTAATTGTTTTCCAATTGTTCTCTTTTAAAATGTAATGTGCTGATCTCTTTCCATTTCCTTAGATTTTGAATATTTAATATTTTAATATTTTTCTCACCTGTTTGCTGAATTCATACCATCTTTCATTATCCCTGAGATTTTTCTTTCTCCAGTTCTAGTATAATCGCCCTGAATAAGAACAACATAAAAAATTAAACAAATACAAAAGATGCCTTTTTAAGTTTCAATACATACCTTTAATGCATTGGTACCGGCATACTGCTTACTAATAGTGTCGCCATTATTAGCCCATAGTAATTGGAAGGTTTTCTTTAGAGAATCAGGCATGGTACCATCAGGAGGTATAAGACCTAATTTGGTGAATTGAATTTCCATAGCAGCCTTTCCCAATGCTGTCTGCAATTAAAACGTTTAGTTAGCAGAAGAAAATAAAATTCATTAGTGATAAATACTTTTTAATGGACCCATTTGAAATAATAATAATACTAATTTACCTGTACAACGTTTGTTCTATCTAAACAATCAATACAATTGACTCGAAACACACCAACTTGGGAACAAATATGCCCCTGACTGTCCCTCCAACAATAGCCCATATCCCTTAGAATGTCAGTGACAGCATTAACAAGAATTGACACGTTTTCAAAATGCATCCCACGACTGCAAAAAGCAAGTTATTTAAAAAAGCCATTCAAATGTTTCTGTAATTTTTACGAACCAATATTCGTGAAAGTCAAAAGTACAGTATACAAGTTCAGGGCAATTAAGCTGAAGAACGTGATTCGTGTAGGCTTCCCACACTATTCGCTCTTTTCCTGTTTGTTCAATAAGGTTTATTATGCAAACAGGTCCATATTTGGCAATTTCTTTAGCAAAATGTTTTGCAAATGCAACCTGATTTTCTTCTTCCCCTAAAAATAAAGAACTCTATTATACACAAATTTTACGTGGCAATTTCATTTCTTTTTATCTAATTATCATTTACCTTTATCAATTCTAGGCGGTGGCCTGTATTTAAACCCTGGCTGAGACCAATAAATTGGAACAGAGCCTCTAACTTGAACAAAAGACACTTCATGCTGCTGAAAGGTGACGATCTGTTCAGTTTCCACATAATTAGCACATTCTCCATTTTCATCCACTCCTCTTCTTTTATATCTAAATACAAAAACGAATTAATCAATTTAACTAAAACTTTATTACTATATTAAATACCTTATTAGAACAAAAAGGCAGAAAAAAGTAAGGTATACCTTGTTCCTGCTCTGTAACGACTTCTCCTTGAAATAAGTGTCAAAGTAAATATTTCATAATTTAATTGAGCTCCATCACTATGGACCAGAACTTTGCAATTTTCAATCTGAACAAAACCCTGTATTATTGGTAGAATCCAAGGATCACCGAAAGGATTCTGAAAACATACATATATCTACTAATTAAATATTAATTTTAAACTTGATACCTTAAAAATCCTTTTCTGATAATTGTGCTTACATTTAAATCAATGAGATCACGTAGCATGTACTTGTTCCAGAAAAATTTGTCATCTGCAATTTTCCAAAGTGCTGATGTTTTCAGATCAGTATCTTTTTCAATGCAACATAATCTTTGCAATGAGTTTGTAATATCACAGGTTTCACAGAAATAAAATGAATCAGTATCACAAAAAATTTTATAAAACTCGTCAATAATTCTTTTCTCAAATTTTTCTCTGTCTTTAGGATCCTTTTTTTTTGGTGTGCCAGTTGCAATTGCTGCAGCTTGTTGTGTTGAATTTTTTATGCTATTTCCAGCACTTTTAAGTGTTCCCCATGTTTTAGAAAACGTGGGATTTTTTTGAATGTCAAAGAAATTACTTCCTTCATATAAAAATAGATGATTAGTAAAACAGCAACTCAAAATAGTACTTTGGTTATTAATTACCTTTAAAGATGAAATTAAACACTAAGTAGATACATATTGCTTTCAAATGAAGAAGTTAGTCTATGGCCAAACAAAGATTGTGGTCAATAAAATACTTTTGTAACGTTAACTTTGTGTTTAATTTCGTTTTTAATATAGAGTTCAAAGAATTGATTCAGTATTTAATTACCTTTATTTTTTTCATTTGTATCGGACAAATGTTTGGAACACTTATCCAGTCCTAAGTCTGGATCATCTAAATTCGATTCCAAGAATACCACTGACTTTATTTTGAATAAGGTATGGGTCCCATGGATTTTTCCAACAGGTGTGCATTTTTTAATCAATAACAATCTTGGATAAAATACTGCAGGATGATATACCTTTCCAATTATTCCATAACATACACCTAAACACACTGGATCATCGGCATTTGTAAGTTCCCATCCTTTTAATAACATAAGTAAAATATAAGAAAACTATAAACCATGTTATAAACAAATCATGACATCTATTTGGGTTGCACATATGTTATATTACTTTACCTGCTTTTGGAATTAATGCACTTGTCTGTCGATCCCACCACAATGAATGTTCACCCTTCACAAATATATAAAAATCATCTGTTTTAAACAATTCCATTTCTTTGATAAATAAAAAACACCAATTATTGATCTGTGTATTACGAATTATTTTTCAAAATGTCACTTCACTTACCCTTTGTGTATCTATTATCTATGATGTCACTTTGACGTTTCTTATCAATTACGCCATAGATATTAAATAACTGAAGTAAGGTAGCTAGCTTCAGAATGGAATATATTTTTGCTATTTCTCCAATAGAGTGCGCTAGTTGAACTACGCCTTCGTTTTGTTTATGAGCTGTCATCTGTAATTTATAATTCCTTTAAAAAGCTCATTATCAATAATTATTAGTGCTCACTGTGCATTGTACAGTAATATTTATTGCTTTTAATTATTTTTGATAAAAGTGGTGTTAATTAACAATCTTCTGAACTGAGTAATTGTTATTTTTTAAGTCAATTATCCATCCATTCGTTTCTTCATGATCTGTCATATGTTTTCACAATGAAATAATTGTTAAAAAATTACATCAAGTTTTCTTTATAAAAGTGAGAGTGTGAAAGTAGCGAACAACGTTAGTTATTAACATGCCCTGAAGTTTACTCAGCACTAATTAATTGCTGAATGCATGCTTAACTGATAAGAAATTCAAGTGGTTCAGTTACAATGCATCGAAGAAGACCACACCACAGTAACTTTACATATGTTAGTTCATGTGTAAAATATTTAATATTTGTGCTAAACTTCATATTTTGGGTAAGCCTTACTTTTCACAAAATCAAGTTTATTGTTAAAAAGTACACTTTCAGTTATTTGGAGGATTACTAATTGGAATAGGATTGTATGCATTTGTAGATAAATGGCAGTTAACAGGTTGGGTAAAACTTGAAACTGTGTATGATGTAATTTTGAATATATCATTAGTCATGGTGATAATGGGTGGTGTTGTGTTTATAGTAAGTTTTGCAGGATGTGTAGGTGCACTACGAGAAAACACATGCCTTCTAAAATTTGTAAGTATGTATTTTGTCTTAAAATACATAATATTAACTTGGAATTTGAATAATTTCAGTATTCACTTTGTCTGTTAATATTCTTCCTGTTGGAAATGGCTGTTGCAATTATTGGCTTT